GCGGGAGCCGCTCCGTGTGTTAGAGGATTCCTCCAGGTCTGAAGAAAGGAAGGCTCCCCATAGGAATTCTCCAGTTTTCTAGAGCATGCGATCCCTGGTTAAAACAGTGTGTATTGTCTTTAGACAAGGTTTGGGTGCTGGAAGTGAAAAGCTAACATACAAGGAGCGCTTTTTATGGGCTGGTTATTGAGCTAAGCCTTTAATAAGAGTTGATTTATTCTTTAAAAACTTATATGTATTACCTTAAGTTTATAGATAAGGAGAAGGAGCCCAAAGAGTTAAATGACATGCCCAAGGAGGCAGAGCTAGTAAGTCATGGAGCCAGGATGCAAAAGTGTTAGGTCCTCAACTAGGTTGTGTTTTTAAAGTGTATCTGTTAAGTGGAATTATATTAATTGTTGGCTGCAATAATTTTCCATCTCACTTGTTTTCTACAAATGACCTTGACACTCCTCCCATGGAGAGGTGGGTCTATGCCCCTTTCCTTGAATTTAGACCAACCTTAGTGATTTGCTTGTAACCAGTAGAAAGTAGTAGAAGGGATGCCTTATCATTTTTGAGATTAAGTCAGTAAAAGTCATATAGCTTCCTCTTGGTTCTTTTGAAATATTCCTTCCTGAAGCCTTCAGGGATGTAAGCTAACTGCCCCGAGGCCACCATGCTATGAGGAGGCCCAAGCTTACTCATGGAGAGAGATCACATGAAGTGGCTTTGAAACTCACAAAGAGAGAACTGTTAGGCCAGGCTCCACTGCCTAAACACCCCTCACCTCCGGTCAGGTGACTACATGGTTCATGCCAGAGATACATCTAAGAGGCTCACATCAACCAAACAACCAGAATAGTTCCTCCCCTCCTGAGGAGGCTTTGTTCCTGGCCAAAAGAAGGAAAACATAAAAAGAAAAGATACCACCATTCTTCACAAACAGTGACCTCATAGCAACAAGCAAATAATATGAAAACCTTAGGATATACTTTTAAGCAGAAACCATTTGAGTTGGGTTTCTCACACCTGAAATTGAGTTTTGATTGTTCAAATATCCGCTTAACACAATGATTTGATCTCAGCAAGAAGACCCAGGGATTGATAACTCCATTTTAGCAAGTATTTGTCAAGACTCTTTTGAAAACAACAGACCAACTTTCAAATCAAACTTTTAAGAAAAATAATAAAGGAGTTTATTGTTTCACATATGTGGCATGTCATGCGGTGGAACTTCAGGAATGGCTGGATCTAGGTGCTGAAATGTTATAGTTAGCAATTTCTCTTTCTCAGTTTCACTTTCCTTTGTATTGCTTCATTCTCATGTGGGTTCTCCCACTGTGAGGGCAAAGATGGCCAACAACCTAGCAGCCCCAGCTGAAAGAAACCTTTCTCAGTTCCAATTACACGTCTACGTATTATATGCGCTAGCTTAGCAAGGGCCATGTACCTGTCATGGAGACAATCACCGTGGTCAAGGAGATGCATGCAGTACTCTGGCCCACTCTAATTCCCAGGGGCGGGATCAACTTTACCCAAGCCATACAGACTAACGGGGCTAACAGGATGAATTATATCGACAGGTTTTAAGTTTCATTAGAATAAGCTCTAATAGAAACAATGAACATTTCTTTAGTGCTACATGTTTCTCGTTAGATTCTGGGATCTAATAAGATCTAAAATAATTTATAATTATGTTTTATGTTCATTTCACAGAGAATACTGTGACTGTTAACTAACTTACCGAAGATCACTTAGGTAGTCCACATAATGTTAGATATATTATTTCCTTAATAAATTATTGAATTCAATTTGCTCATTTTATTTAGTATTTTTGCATCTATATTTATAAGTTAGATTGGTACCCAGTTTCTCTCTTTTGCTATTTTTGCCACATTTTGGTATCAGGATTGTTTGCTTCTGTGGACCCTGCAAAAGAAGATACCTACTAAGAAGGGCTCCTGGTAGCCAACTGGTCTCAAATTTAAAAAAAAAACAGCCTAGCAACTGTTCCTACACAGGGGCCTCTAATGCAAATTTCACTTCATGCCTGCACCGAACTGCCTGCCTGCGCTGTGGTCCTGCCATCAGAGCCTGGTCCCGGACAGAGCAAAGGGGAGGGGGTCAGAATGTAGTTGAAGGGAGCAGAGCAAGAACTGCCTAGCCTGAGAGGGGCCTCGCCAGGGGCCACCTGGCCCTGGGGGGCGGCCTCACAGCTAGCTGTGCTGTTTCACAGTTGAGCTGTCACGCTGTTGAGATGTTCCACAGCTGTGCTGTTCTCAGGCCCTGCTATATCACAATTGAGCTATTTGCAGTGACTAAAGTTTCCTTCTTCACTGCACCACGCCAGACTGGGAATTCCCGTTGGTCTTGAGCTGGGCGCCAACGACCATCGCTTGATAGTTCCAAAATAAATGGAGAAACTTTTGGTGACTTACTTCCATTAGTGCAGTTTTAATAAATAAGAATGACCGATTCTAAGCTATTTAACTTCTCCAGTGAATGTCTTGCAGCATCTGGGTCTCTAGTGTGAAGTCCTCCCCGGCTTAGCCTCCTGTGTGAGACCCTGTGGGAGGTTTGCTATTAAGTCAGCTCACAGTACATCTTGATGGCCTGGGGAACACTCAACAGCTGGCGACTTAAAATTCGCAGCTGTCCAACTGTCAAGGAAGCCTCACAGGACCTGCCTTCACCCTATCTTTAAGTATTAAAAGAAATCCTGAAAAAGAAAAAAACTCCTGAAGAATGGCTTTTTTTTTTTTTCAATGTGGAATCCACACTTGTAACTACGCTAAAAAATAAGTAAACAAAAAACTTTCTCTCCCTCCCCAAAGCGGTAACGGGTAATTGGATCTACGGCCACGTAGGAGCCTGGCGTGGTCCTAAATCCAGAGTCTCCAGGGACAGACGGCCACCAGCGGGTCTGCTTAGGCACTAAACACTTTTTTCTCAACTTTGGCCCAAAGCCCAGTCCCGAGGAGTTCACAATTTCTCCCTCGGGGACGGGTCCCTCCTGCAGCGGCCAGCCCTGTTGCCGGCGCGGGCCAGCGGGCTCGGAGGATCCGGCCGCGCCGGGGCGGTGCAGGGCGCATCAGGCCCGGCCCCGCGCGCGGCCGCGGCTCCTCCCCTCGCTCGGATGTGGCCGGGGGGCGGAGGAGAGGGGGTGGCTGCTGCCGCTCCGGGAGGGCCGGGAGCCTTTTCCACGTTTGCAAACGCAGCTGCGCCCAGGCCGGCTCCGCGCCCGCCGCGCGCTCCTCTCCTCGCTTCCCCCGATGGCGTTCAGGGCCCGGGGCTGGCGGCCCCCACCGCCGCCGCTGCTCCTGCTGCTGCTCTGGGTGACCGGGCAGGCAGCGCCCGTCGCGGGCCTGGGCCTGGGTTCCGACACGGAGCTGCAGATCGAGCGACGCTTCGTGCCCGACGAGTGCCCGCGCACTGTGCGCAGCGGCGACTTCGTGCGCTACCACTACGTGGGGACATTCCCCGACGGCCAGAAGTTCGACTCCAGGTACCGCTCCCCGCGCGCCCGGCCGGCTTTCCCGCTCCCTCTCTCCGGACAGGCCTTTCTCTCCCGACGGACCTCCCCCAGCTCCGCCCCGCGAACCTCGCGCTCCTCCCTCTCCCTCTTCCTCCCGCAGAGCTCCCCGACCCTAAATCCCTCAGCCCCCGGGGCGAGCCTACCGGCCCTTGTGCTTCCCTGGTCCTCCCACCCAGGACTGGACTCGTGGAGAAGCCTGTGCGTAGCGGAGTTGGGGCAAGTCATGCGCTCCCAGCGCGCTTAGAAAGGCGGGATCTACGTAAGATGGCCTCTCCGTGGTAGATCCCACCCCCCACCCCCGAGTCAATGTTGGCGTCCGCCTGCCACCTCCCTTTACTGTGCCTTTCCGCGCGGGCCGGGGATCTAGACAGACCGTGCCGCCGATGCTGCAGCTGATGATAGCAACCTCGAACGTTGCTGGAGCTATTTCAGCGTCCCAGGGTAGTTCTAAGTGCTTTCCATATAATGAACTCATTTAATTCTTACAACAGTTCTCTGAGGTTGATGCCGTTACCACTCTCATTTAGCCAGTGAAGTAGCTGGAGGCCGTCGAGGCTAAGAAACTTGTTTAAGCGGAGTCAGCCCAAGTCCAGAGTCTGTGCGTATAACTACCACCGCCCGCCCTTTCTAGCCTTGCAAAAACCTCCCCGGGGCAGGATGTAGTCCAGCGCGAGTCTCGGCTTTGCCATGGGGCCTTGCGCCATGCCCACGATTCCTGCCCCAAGAGCACAGCCCCTGTACCCCACTTCGCTCCAGTTTAGTTTTAGGGGTTAACGGGCCTCTTTGGCTTCAGCTCATTCCGCTCTCTTCCCTGAGGCTTTCTTACCAACTGGGCTGTGCGGGCACTTCCCCCAGCGGATCGCCAGCCTGGGCCTGGGCGAAGAGAACTGTTTGCTTCGGAAATGCTCTGTGCCCTAAGGCTGCACTAGACTCATCCCGAAGTTATCTTTCAAAACATTCTCTTAGCTTCTCTTGGCTTTTTTGAAATTACAGACAGTGAGTGAATCTATAAAAGCTCATTAGCATACCACGTGGCACATAGCAACTGCTCAGAAATGGTCAGTCTTACTATTGTTTCAGTTGCTTAAAAAAAAACGGATTGAGATATAATTCACAACCGATACGATTCACCCCTTTAAAGTGTACAATTTAATAGTTTTTCGTATGTTCACAGAATTGTGCAGCCATCACAACTATCTATTTGCAGAACATTTTCGTCACTCCCCAAAAGAAACGCTGGACCCATTAGTGGTCTGTGCCCTCCAACCCCAGGGAGCCACCGATCTACTCTCTGTCTCTTTGTGGAATCATACAATTTGTGGTGCTTTGTGCCTGGCTTCTTTCACTTAGCATAATGGTTTCAGGGTTTATTCATGTTATAGCATTTGTCAGTACCTCATCCCTTTTAATGGCTGTGTAATATCTCATTGATGGCTCTACCACACGTTTGTCAGTTGATGAGCATTTTACACTTTTTGGCTATTATGAATAATGATGTGTGCACCTCATTACTCACAAGGTTTTGTGTGGATATGTGTTTCATTTATTTTGGTATATACCATATACCTAGGAGTGGAATTGCTGGGTTCTTTGGTAACTATATTTAACTCCTTGAAGAACTGCCAAACTCTTTGTCCAACATGGCTGCACCATTTTACATTCTCACCAGCAATACATGATGGTTGTAATTTCTCCACATTCTCCCTAACGCTTGTAATTGTCTGTCTTTTTTAATATTGCCATCCTAGCGGGTGTGCAGTGGGTGTCTCCTTGTGATTTTGATTTGTATTTCCCTGGTGGCTAATGGTGCTGAGCATCTTTTCATGTGTTTGTTGACCGTTTCTATGTCTTCTTTCATATGCTTCTTTAGTTAGAAAATAGAGAAGAATTTCCTGTTCGTGCTGATGGTTAATTATTAATTCCCACTAAAACGAGTTGTCTAGGCATGGCGGCTACTTTGAGACAGTGTCAGACAGTGGAAAGAGTACAGAGGAGGTATCATCATCCATTTAGCAGACCTGTATATGGTGCGTGTCCCTGAAGACGGTGTCCCCTAGACGGTGCCACTAATAGTTCAGGCAATTACATGGTGTGATAAATACAGTAACAGCACGCCCTCCGGTCTCACACTGTAGAATTCACATGTGGTTTTTACCACATGCCTTTACATATGTTAATTCATTCGATCTCCAATGTATTCATTTAACCTCACAAGACAATGAGGGAGGTATCTCATTACAAAGGAAGAAACTGAGGCTCAGAAAGTTCAAGTGATTTGCCCAAGGTAGCCAGCTACTAAGTGGTGGAGTGGGGCTTTGAACCTAGGCAGTTTGGTGCCAGAGTCTATAGTCTACCATATATATGATGGAAGCAAGGCAAGGAGCTATGGAAGCACACAGAAGGCCTAACTGTACGTGGTGTGTGTGTGGTGAGTGTGTGTGTGGGGGGGGGGCGTGGCGGTCAGGACGGAGTCCTGGCATTGCAGGGATGAGACCTGAAGAGGATTAAAGTTTACAGGGAGATGCTGAGGGGTGGGGGTTGTGGGGAGAAGAAAGGGCGTGGCTGGTAGAGGAAAGAGCACAGGCAGTGGCCTGGGGTACTGTGTGGGGGACATTCAAGCTGTTCAGTGTGGCCCGAGCTTGGAGTGGGAGTAGGGGAGTGACAGCGGGGAGAAGGAGAAGTGAGAGGAGTTCCGGAGAGGAAGGCTGGCCAAGCTTTTGAGAGATCTCGTCCGTGGCTATGGAGTTTGGACTAATCCAGAGCAAGTCAAAGGACAATGGAAAGCCATGGAAGAGTTTTAATCGGGAGAGTGAGGATCAGACTTACATTTTGCAAAGGTCCCTGTGGCTGCAGTGTGGACAATGGAGTGAAAGGGGCGGGGCACTGAGTAGGTGCTTCACTAATGGGAGTTTTTCTCTAGGGCCTCCATTCCTTTGGGGATTTATGAAGTATTAGGGCGCGGCTTTGCTATTCCTGCCACAAGATCTCCGGGGAGAAGAAATCTAAGGTGTTTTGGGCTTTGGCTGCTGATTTGGAGGTTTGTCCTGAAGAACACAATGGCTGTCACCTTGACCAGAGTCCTAAACCACAAAGGGCCTTTTCTTCCACAGAGCTTTCTGCCTGCATCTCTGCCTGGCGCTTGGGAGCGGTTGATGTCTTTTCAGCTAATGGGCTTTTGCAGTTGCCAAGAGGTCCAGCCCGTCGGCCCTTGGCCACTGGCTTGGACGTGGCTTCATTTTATCCGGCGCCTCCATGGGCTTGTTAATATGCCCCGGTGGCTGCTGCTCCAGACTCGAGGAGAAGACACCGGCTCCCCGCCTGCAGGATCCTGAACACACTCCCTCTCTCGAGCCCCCAAAACCCATTCCTGTGGGGTCCTGCTCTCGCCCTCCAGATCTTGGGAACCCCTCGTCAGCCACACCTGATTCAGCGTTTGAGGACTTTAGCAGCATTCCTAGCACCCCCCAGTGGGCCAGTCTCTTTGTTTACTCTGATTTCTTTCTGGGGACTGAAGTTTAAAACATATATCGGGTTGAGGTGTAGCCGTTCTGAATTCAGACCTGCAAGTTCCAGGCTTCCTTCTGCCCTGCCACCTCTGCAGGCTCGGGGAGGCACACGGCATCCACCCTTGGCCACGGCCCCTTTATTTACAACTCGATAATGTTTCTTCTCTTCTGGTCCACTCCCTCTCCGTCTTCCACAATATCGTTGCCATCTTTTGATGGCAGTGGCCTCCTTTCCTGTTTTTTTGTTTGTTTGTTTGTTTGTTTTAAGCGCCTACAGAGCCTGGTCTTCCTAGTTGGTCTCCCATCCAAGTACTAACCAGGCCCGACGTCGCTTAGCTTCTGAGATCAGATGGGATCAGGCACGTTCAGGGTGGCATGGCCGTAGACTCCTTTCCTGTTTTCTGAGTCCTTTTTTACAAAGAGTTGCTTAGGAGCTTGGGAAAGGAATGGGTTTTAGGGGATCGAGAGAGGGAGGGTGTTCAGTTTGCCACATGTTCTCCTAAAAGTTCATCCTCAACTGCAGGTCGAACCTTATGCTTGGAAATAGAGCCACAGTGTTTATGCCTTAAGAATACAGTGGCGGCGTAGTCATTTATCCCAAGGACTATGCTGTAACGTGTGCTCGTGTGTAGGTCGTTCAGTGAGGTGAAAATAATGGATTTCCATGATGTCCCCTGCCTTAGTGGATTTTGGGCTGATAATCTTGAAGAGCATCATTGGGCAATACCACAGCCACATCCCGTTACCCCGGTGGGGCAGGGGAAGGTAGAGATGTCAGGGGTAGCAATCAAAGGCAGCAGAGAATGAGCGGGGCCCATTAGAGAGGAAAGGGGACTGCCGGATGTGCAGGGTGAGCTACACTTGCCTTTTAGGTCCACCCTCCCTCTGTTCCACTTGCTTTTTGCTCTCAGAGGCTGTTCTGTACGGACTATATGTGTATAGTATGGGTTATATCAGTGGCCTCCTTGTCATCTGGCTTCTGGTTGGATTCAACCAATGGGGCATCAGCAGGAGGTCAGGGGGACGTAGGAGAGGGGGGAGGACATATTTATTCCTCTGGCTTCCTGTCTGTAGAGTCACTTGAACTGTGTCCCTGGACTAAAGACCCTAGCTTAGCTTCTGCCCCTCTCCGCCCCGGATCCTTCAAGCCCAGGTGTGACAACAGCACCCCCTACTCATCCCCAGAGGTATTGCATGTCCCTGTATTTCTCTGCATCCTGCACACACTTTTGCACTCAGCCCTTTTTATTAAATTTTCCTGAACTGCCTAGTTTGGGTGTATCATCTATTTCCTGCAGGACCCAGACCGAAATGTCTGCAAAAGGTGTGATTCAGCCAGATACTGGGACAGGTTGTATAACTGCTTGTTCCAGAGCTTAATTTTCACGACCAGTTCTGGGCTTGAGGCTGCAAATGAATTTATGCCATTTGTGCTGACAGAGCGACTTTATTTTTCCAGATGGTCAGAGTTTTCGGCAGTAGATAAGACTGGTCTTGCATTATTGGTTTCTCATGCATGTAAATTATACATTTTCTTTCAGAACAGTGTGTTTTGTTTTTAGCACTTTGCTTAGGGAGTCATCAAATGACGAAATGAATACTGTGAGGCAACAACGCTTTTCACACATCACCTGGGGAGGTCCTGTGCTTGGAGGGTAGGAGCTGGACCGTCCTGGGTTCCAGCTTTTTTTCCCCCTTGACTCACCTTGTGAGCTTGGGAAATTTTTTCACTCCCAAGGAGCCTGAGTATCAGCACCCACCTTAAAGTGTGTGTACAGATCAAATGAGGTAGTATATGGAAAAGCTTAGTTTGCCACTGTGCCTGACATAATACACACTCTCTAAATAGTTATTATTTAAAAATCTCATTAAATTCGGGAACTATATTCAGGTTCTATGGATGAAAAACATAATTATAAAGCGGTTTCCAGCCTGCGCATTGTTGCTGTTTGCACATGTTCTGTCTTTGAAGCTTCAGTTCTGGTCCATTATTAACATAAACCTGCCAGTTTGATGGCGGTTCAGGGCATGGCGACCCGGCAGAGTGAAATTCAAGAGCTGGATTCGGAGGGCGGGTGTTGGTTCTCCAGAGGTTGAGGGCGGAGATGTAAAGCCGTCCAGGGCACAGAGCTGGTCATGTGCTTTTGTCCTCTGGCTTGTTGGCCTAGACTTGGAATCTTGCTTTTTGTGCACTGACCTTGGAGAAAGGAAGGCTATTAAAATGGGCCGTAAAACTAGGAGGAGAAAGGGAAGATGAGAATGGGTCTGAGGAAGCTGCCTTGGTGGTGGCAAGGTGGACTGTGCCACCTTCCCAAGCTGCTCCTTGGGGACAGTGAGAAAAAGCTAGAAGTAATTTACTGAACAAAGGTCGGTACATCCTAATGAGGTAAATTCAGCAGCTCTCAACATTTTATTATACCTAAAATCTCCTACCCATGGATTATCATTGATCGTATTTTCATGTATCACCTTGTGGATTATTTTCATGTGCATCTATATATGTAAATTCAAAATGGGATTATTTTATACTGTGTCTCTGTAACCTGCACTTTTAATGTGTGTATCCTTCTTTGCCAGTGAATAGAAATCTGTTGTTTTTTTTCTTTAAAACTTTAATTGAGGTGTCATCGACATTTAACATTAGTTTCAGAGGTACAATGTAACAATTTGATATTTGCATATATTGCAAAATGATCACCACAGTAAGTGTTGTTAACATCGGTCACCATACATGGTTACAAAAATTTTCTTGCAATGAGAATTTTTAAGATCTACTCTCTTAGCAACTCACAAATATGCTGTATAATAAATACATTATTAACTATAGTCGCCACACTGTACATTATATCCCCATAATAGACCTCTGTTGTTTTCAAATGGCCATAGAGCATTTTATTGTATATCCTTGCCTTAAATGCAGTCAGTGCCATGCTCTTGAACTTCGAAGTTACTTCCAGTGTTTCGTTATTATAAGCTCAGCCCTGTAGTTTTCTTAACCACAGCATCTGAACCTCTGTGGGTGTCTCTGCCAGTGTTTTTTGATAGCCGAGGTCTATGCCTTACACGTCTTTCATATCTCTCAAAGCACCCAGCCCTGTCTCCTCATGTGCAGACCCTTGTTGGTTGCTGATTTGACATTGAAGAGGATGTGAGCGTGGGCCATAGCCATGATTCCATTCTTTATCTTCCAACTTAAGGCCATTACCTTTAAAACACAAATAGTAGTGATTTCAAGACTACATCAACTTTCTATTGCCTGTAATAATTGTAGTAACATTGGCATAACTCTTGGGTGTTCAGAGCACTTTTCACGTATTTATGTCATACAGATCTTGTTTTGCAGAGGAAGAAACTGAGGTTAAGAGAGTTCAGGTATCCTTTATGCTACACCATGCTGCCTCTTTGTTTAATTTATCGACTTAAAGAAAGAAAAAAGAAAAAAAATATGTGTTAACTTGGGCATTAGTATCTATGATGTTGCTTTTATGTACCAATCATACAGAAATAGAGTAAACTGTATATTTAGTAGAGTAATTGGTAGCTATGTTGCAAAATAAATTATATATATTCTGGGGAGAGTTATACCGATGCTTATCTAATTAGATTTGCTGACAACGTTCAAGGTAATTTAAAAATTCTAGCCCTGCAAGTACTGTTCCTGTATCAGTAACTCCCCTGCAGGCTTTCTGCTTTGCAGTGACCTCCGTCTGCCTGCGGGTACATTTCCACAGGTTGGTTTCACTAAGGGAAAGATTATTTATACTTTTTTTTCTCTCTCTCTGCCCTTTGGGTCTTCAGCTATGACAGAGACTCCACTTTCAACGTGTTCGTGGGGAAAGGACAGCTGATTGTAGGGATGGACCAGGCTCTGGTTGGTATGTGCGTGAATGAGAGGCGTTTCGTGAAGATACCTCCGACGCTCGCTTATGGAAGTGAAGGCGTTTGTAAGTTTTCATCCCATGTTCATAAACACAGAAACAACCAGAACATTAATAGGCTGTTCAGTTGGGCATACTGGAGAATCTTTTAGGTTGGGAAAAATAAGCAGTGAACACACACGCACACACACACACAGAGCTAAATTTCCCATCTTAGGTTTATTTCTTCTAGATATGAAAGGAGGTGTTGTTAACATAGGTGTATTGAATGTTACCTTTGTTGAGAAGAAAAGTTTGCTTTTTCTCTTTGAATTTCATTTGGAGGAAAGAGGGTGGGAGCATGGCTCATTTTGGAATTGGAGACCAGTGTCCCCTTGAACCCTTGGCAGCATCCTAGGTGTCTGTGTGGCCTGAAAGGCAGCAGCTTCTCAGTGTGAACTCTCTTTGATTTCTAGCTGGTGTGATCCCCCCTAATTCAGTGCTTCATTTCGATGTCCTCCTGATGGATATTTGGAACGCTGAAGATCAGGTTCAGATTCACACTTACTTCAAGCCCCCCAGTTGCCCTCGGACCATCCAGGTGTCGGATTTTGTAAGGTACCACTACAACGGAACGTTCTTGGACGGGACGCTATTCGATTCGAGGTAAGAACCACCGTTCTGGCTGGTATCACCTGCTTTTCATGCCCCTGGAGAAACCAGAAAAGGGACCATTCTCAGCTTTCACCAGCGTCAACTCCTTCACTTAAGACTCTCGGTTAATGTTTCATGCTCCAGAGTGCCAGTGTCAAAATGTATACATCTTAGAAAAACTTAAGAGCAGTGTTTACCTAAATTAGTAGTATTTTGAGGCCTCATTAAGTGAAGGGCCCTATTACCAAGTAGGTTCATTTCTACAGTTTTCCCATGGAAGGAGGAAGGAAGGCTGAATGTATATGAAGCTATGGAGAACTGTGGGTGTCAGGTGCTAAGCTGGGGAACAGTGAAACTTTACCTCTCATAGTAGTGTCAAAATATGATTAGGTGGATTAACAGGCCTATTTTTATAAATCGTCGTGGCTTAATTACATGCTTTTTATACATCTGAGGACATCTGCTCTGTGACTGAGAGCAAAGATCCATATATGCTTGTCTCCAGGGATGGGTAGGGGTTCATGGTTCGCCTGAGATTTGGGCAACAAAAACCTTATTGAGGGATGAGTTAGAAACGTCCTCCTGGTATAGAACTTTTTCTTTTTCTCATTGGTTTTCAGTCACAATCGCATGAAAACGTATGACACGTACGTGGGGATCGGCTGGCTGATCCCCGGGATGGACAAAGGGCTGCTGGGGATGTGTGTGGGGGAGAAGCGTGTTATCACCATTCCTCCTTTTCTGGCCTATGGAGAAGGCGGAGATGGTAAGTCCTTCTAACCTTCTGAGTCATTCTCGTCTGTCCTTATTTTTACTGCAGTGATTAACTCACCTTGGCACGTGAAATCCCCAGATCTTTTGTGTGAGACCTGCACTGTTCAAAACCTAGGGCTGTTTACATTTAAATAAATTAAAATGAATTAAAATCCAATTTTAATGAAAATGCTGTGCGTTGGTTACACAGCCATACAGTGTGTACTTAAGAGCCACACGTTGCTGAGTACTACTGTACTGGACAGTGCAGACACAGAATGTCCCCGTCACTGCAGAAGGTTGTGTGGGGCAGTGCTAGCTGAGGTCCTCCGCTGTCTGACGGGTGAGTTGCAGAAACCCACACTCATTCCTGGTCGTCGATGTTCATAATTGAGCTGTCTGCCACTGCCTCGTAAGCTAAAACCTTGGCCACCGACCTCTCCAGCCTATGTGTTTCCCATCTGTGAAATGAAATTTGAACTACACAGTCTAAATATTGTAGACATCAAAGTAGAAATTTTGCATTTGATGCCAGAATTCCCATTTTTCCCCTGATGTGTACTTCCGTGGGTTCTACCTGTGACGTTAGCTCTGTGAGGACAAATGCAAAGCATAACGTTAGGAAAAAAACACATTAATTTGAATTAATTGAATTGTTCTTTTACTGTGAGGGAAAATTGGCATAAATAGAATATTGGCATAAATAGAATTTCTCAGTTACTCATATTTGAATTTCAGGCACATTTAATTCTACGGAGAGGCTGACACAACAGAGACCCCTCCAGGCATTTAAGCGAGCAGATATACATAGTTAAAAATAGAAGTGAAAACACAGTGCTCTTTAAGAAGTTCACTGACAGTGGTTCCCAACATGTAATGACCCCTTAACATAATGTTTTCCCGGGTCCAGAGCTGGAGGGCAGGGGAGACAGAGCGGATGGCGCTCGGCCTTCTCCCCTGCCCCCCGCCGCTTTTACATGTTTTACGTGTTGGAATCTGCAGATAGTCTCTTTCAAAGTGGGGCGAGGGCTGGGGAGTTCCCTGCCAAAAGGGAAGTATGAGAACAATTACTATAACTGTGTCTTAATTCTCCCTTTCCCTAGATACGTTGTTATTCCTATTGGTGCTCCAATTGTCTTATCCTTGGCCAATGGAATTTCATTCTCCTTGGCTCCCAAATCCTTTTTGACATCATCTACATGAACCTGACATACATAATAAAAACTCGATGCCTAGCCTAATATGAGGACTATTCTCTATTTATTTATTTTAAAGAATCGATAATTTAAATATTTAAAATAAATAGTTTATTTAAAATAGTTACTTTTAAAATACTTTATACTTTAACATTGTGCTCAGCTATTGAGGTATAACGTTGACTAGGTGAATTGTATGGTGTGGAAATTATATCTCGATAAAGTAGTAAAAAAAAAAAAAAACCAAAGAGTCAAAAAGTACATGATCATGCTAGAAAAATTTAAACCCTGGAGTGACTTTTAAAGCTTTCTTTTTTTTTTCTCTGAAATTAAAAGATATAGAAAAATACAAAAGACGAATAGTCTACTGCATCCCCCCTCCACACCCGCACCCATATTTCAGAAATTGACCACACCTTGCATTCCAGAGGCTGACTCAGCAGTCTGGTTTCAGCAGATTTCATCATCCGCCTGAGGGGAAAGAGGCAGGGGGTGCCAAAGAGCCAGTCGAGGGAGCACAGGCTGGGTTGCCTTGAGGTTCACCTTGCCCCGGCCTACCCCTTCGCGGGGCATAACAAATGGCAAGTAACCGACTTGGGGTAGGTGATTTGTCACTTAACTTCCCTTTATCCCAAAGTACTGGGTTTAGAGTTATTTATTGGCTGATGTTGATCTTTGCAGTAAGAGCTAGTGCTCAATAATCTCTCCGTGTGGATTACCGTGTTGCAGATGTTGAACAAATCATCACTGTTAGGAAGATCCAAGAGAGGCAGTACCATCATCCAGGAGTGAGACAGAAATGCTTTTAAGACTATTTATTTAGGTCGTGGGTGCCATGTTTTCCTCTCATCTCAGCTAACTTTAGTATTTATTTATATCTTGTTTTGGATTGCACGTTGTCTCTGTAAAAAATTGGCTGTGGGTTCCAAAGAACAAGTCTATGTAATGTTCTCCAGAAGCAGATCTGAGCTTTGGAATTTGTGCCTTTAAATGTCTGTGATTTGCATTTGTACACAAACGGAAACTCACAGAGGTATGTATTTGGGTTTGCATAACCACCCACATAGAGCCTTGATTTGCCAGCACAGACCTAGAAAATACGGTCATAGAGAGTCTCTCATGTCATTAATGTCACTTTGCTACCTTTTCTAGAGAAGTTAGGCTTCAGATTATACCTGGAAGCCCAGGGTTGGACACCAGGGGGAACCACCCAAGACAAGACAGAACATCTGTGTCCTTGGCTTGAAAACGTCAAGGAATGACTGGCACCAACACAGTGGGTGTTGGATTGCAGTTTAAGTACTTCCTAAATCTTGTGTCCTGGTTTCATCATCTTCCTCCATTCC